CCTTAACTGTCACCCCCCATTTTTTAAAATAGGCATGCAGGTGCACTATCCAAACTTAAATTGTTGTAATTTATGAACACTTTGCAATACAGACATAAGTTTGGTCTCAAATCAGCAGATTCTCGCAAAAGTGGAATTTTTTCAAAAAATTTAAGTATCAAAAAGTTATAGTAGTTTAAATTTACTGTAAAGAAAATGCACTATATTAATTTTATTTTATTTTATATATAATAAATATTTTACATATCAGGTTTTACTTTAAAATTGGTATAAAATTAAATCCTTATGTCTAAATAAGTTATGTTCCAAATTTGAAGTTGATATGAAAAAAATTGAGGTTCCTGTGAGATTTTATTTAGGGCGTTATACCACAAACAGCCACCGGGTGCCATCCAAACTCCATTGAATTTTTTTTAATGCATTTTTCAAATATGGAATCCTGAGACTCAGACCTTTCCAATTATATGTTTTTTGTCAAGATTATAAAAAGTTTTGATTCTAAAAGAATCATTCATTTTGTAATATGACACTTGACACTGTCCACTAAGGGGGAGGAGACCGCCAAAAGATTTTAAAGTACCATTTCCATGGTAAAGCAATGTCTGATTTCACAGGATGAATCTTGGGCTTCTAAGCTTTCAAATGATATATGATTTATGATGATTACTAAAAGATTTGATAGAGAAAAAAGACAACAAAAAAAAAGAGCGCCAAGCGTCCCACAGGTGGGACGGTGACAGTTTGTGTATCATAGCCTAGCACTGAAATTACCTGAGCAGTTTAATTAATTTTCTTGAAAACTCAGCTCATTCAATAACGTGCATTTATTACATGGACGGAGCAAGAACATAACATAAGTGTTTAAAATGCATGTATACTTGCTGTTTATGCTGTTAAATTAAATGTAAGAAACAAACTGTGATCCATTGATGAAAACTATTCGACTTTTTTTTCTTCTTCAAGTGTCTTGGAGACGTTGCCACAGTTCCTATGGATTTAGTTTGTGTCGTTTTTATTTATTTATTTATTTATTTATTTTATTCTTCATGCAATTCCAGACAGACTCGATAATGGTGAGATCAGATCTCTGAAAAAAAGATAAAAATAACTGTCTTAAAGCCTTTTTTTTTTTGGTGAAAATACTAATGGCTTAAGACTTTTGCACAGTAGTGTACATATATCAGCAACACTGCAATAAAGTTGCAAATTAATTTATAGCTGTCAAGAACCGGGCCTGCTCCTGTAGGCCTACCTCAGCATATGCGCTTTATAATACTACTTAATATTCTGTGAAATAAAGCATGCTTTACAAAATCACTGAAGAATATTGTGACAAAAACTGACACAAATCTAATGCATTTTCTCTGAAAGAACTGGCAGGGTTCTGTTTAAACCATGTTTAAAATCATAAATTTCTATAATGGAGTACATTCATATAAACTGCACAGGGGATGTGGTTACATAGGCTAGTTATTATGATATCACTCAATGCCAAGAGTGTGACCCCTTAATATTTACTTTTATTATTATATTTTTACTTGAGGAAAATGTGCACAGATTGTTACAGTTAACATTCATACGCACTCATAGCATTGGTACATTTCTGAGTGGCTCATAAACTGGCACAATTTAACATACTATTAAGAAAGTAATCCAGTGGAACTGACTCAGACCTCCAGATGCTAGATGGCGCTCACAGCGGGCGCTCATCGAGACACGCTGTCAGCTGCGCGTTCTGGCACGCGCCAGCAGTGACGTGGATTTTTATCCGTTGCAGTGCGAGATCAGTGAAGTCACTGCATTCAACTACTCCTCTGCAGTGGGTCTGGACCGTTGTTTTACCATTTGTAACAAGGTAAGGACTTTCATTCATTACAATTAGACATAATATCAGAACGCTGCTGGTTGAAGTCAACTTTATCAATGAAAACTCTCTTACTTTGTCCAAACCATCTAGCTGTCAAAACTTGTTTTCATTTTAATGCGTTGTTGGTTTTGATTGCTAATCATGGGTATTTTTTATTCAGTGTCCAGTGAGGAGCAGCACATCATCATGATTAAAGGCAAAGTTGAAAACATTAAAGACAAAATTGATGGCAATGAGCTTGATTTGAGTCTCAGTAATCTTACAGAAGTGCCAGTCAAGGAGCTGGTAAGTTACACGTGGCTGCAGATTTGTTCACTTTACAATTATTTTGAGTGTGCCTTGGTTTTGTTTATTCCCCCCCCTGTATTCATTTAGCATATCCTTAGGCAAAGTGTTAGAAAACGTTGACAATTTTTAACATTGATTTCTGTACAGGCTGCACTTCCAAAGGCAACGGTTTTGGATCTGTCCTGTAATAATCTAACAGCTCTGACTGTAAGTGACAACTGTAAAAAAAAAAAAAAAAAAAAAAAAAAAAATAGAATCGGACACAAATCAGATTTGCTGTAATTTGTAGTTTCTTTAATGTTTTTGTACTGTTTTTGTTACTTCACCAGCCTGAATTCTGTAGCTTGACTCACCTTATCAAAATTGACCTGAGCAAGAACCAGCTCGTCTGCTTACCAGAAGAAATTGGGCAACTTGGTAATCTCCAGCACCTGGATTTATACAACAACAAACTGAAAATGCTTCCCGTCGGCTTCTCACAACTCAAGGTGGGTTTAGGATCTCATGGCTGCAAACATCCTCTAATATTAGAACATGGCGTTTGCTCTGTTATCAATTGCAGTTGGTAATTGAGGGCATTTGTTTGTTATAGAGTCTGAAATGGCTGGATCTGAAGGATAACCCATTGGAGCTATCATTGGCCAAGGCTGCAGGCGATTGCTTGGATGAGAAACAGTGCAAACAGTGCGCATCCAGGGTGAGTCGAGTGGTCTGAAGCAGAAGTGTCAAAGATCAGTTTTGTACTGTATAAATAAGCTTATTTACCGCATAGTCAAAGTTTTGAAACAATCAAAAATTTACAATTTCTTTTTTTAAAATTTGTATATGTCCAGGTTCTCCAGCACATGAGGGTACTTCAGGAAGAAGCAGAAAAGGAACGAGAACGTCATTTGTTGAAAGAGAGAGGTAGGGAGCCCAAAACATCTACAGCTTTTGGTCTTTTTCACCTAATTTCCATTATAAATGATATTATGAGCATTACAAGTTGAGCAAAACATTAAGTTCAGAACTTAGAACTTGAAATTCAGAATTTTGGGGTATTTAGTTTGGCTCGCTTTTTTTATGAGTGACCTAGACATAGTATAGTTTTGAAATATTTTTTTATAGTAATATTTAAGTAATATTTACACAAATTTTTAATTCAGTTACAAAATGTTGAAACTTTTTTTAAATTTTTTTTATTTGCATTCATTTTATATATTAATGTATTAATTTTAGAATATGTTTCAATCCATTACAGAACTAGAAAAGAAAAAAGAAGCCAAGCAGAGGGAAAAGGAGGCCAGGGAAAAGGAAGCACAAAAAAAGAAAAAAGCCGATGAGAAAGAGAAGAAGAGAAAGGAGTATCAAGCTCAGATGGCTACTCTTGCTGCACAAGAACAACAGAAAAAGAAGAAAGAAGAGAAGAAAAAGAAAGCTGCTCAAAATCAAGGTACAGTTTTATCTTACATGAACTGACATTTAATTACTTCATTACACTGTATACTTTACTTTAGATTCATAAAATGTTGAAGTATTTGGATCTTCGATCTTCAGTACCGTTCAGAAGTTTGGATTTTAAGATTTTTTAAAATGTTTTTGAAAGAAGTCTCTTATGCTTACCAAGGATGTTCAAAAATTCAGTAATATTGTGAAATATTATTACAATTTAAAATAAGTTTTCTATTTTAATGTATTTTAAAAATGTATTTTAATGTAATTTATTCCTGTGATGGCAAAGCTGAATTTTCAGAAGCCATTACTCCAATATTCAGTGTCATGTGATCCTGCAGAAATAATTTAAATATGATTATTTAGTGCACAAGAACATTTCTTATTATCAGTGTTGAAAGCAGTTTTGCTTCTTAATATTTTTGTGGAAG